TCCCTCAGCGTATTCATATGTTCTTCCCATGTGGCAATATCATTAAAGTACACCTCAAAATTAGCTACATCTTGCAGCACTAGGCACATCAGGCGCTGAAAGGTGGCAATCTGCATGTGAATGCTATGTCTGACACGAGTCATATCATTTCAGATTTTACAGGATGCTTGTTTCTGCAGAGACCGTTTCCATCCTTCAAAGGATGATCCATCCAGTTAAAAGGACTACAGTAGCCACAGTTCTAGCTGCTGTTTCTTTTATTTTCTCTCTGTCATGGCTTTACATCAACATATTAATGTGTCAGGTATGCAGCTCACTTCTGTGCTCTGGTCTATGAATTACATAAGACGTATCACTGACCTTACTCTCTATGACATATCTGTAGCTAATACTGAAATGTTTTTTAGCGTTGTTTAAAGCATTTGATGGAAATGCTCTAGTGCTCCCTGCGACTACAGGCTACAATACAGTACAAGCCAGTTGTCACATTGTCAGTTTGTCCAGCATCTGTCACATGTCTGTTGTGTTTTGATTTAGTTCTGTTCTGTCTCCCAGTCATGATTTAATCAGGTTTAGTTTGTTCCCTCAGCTTCTGATTCCATTCATTTGTTGTATTAATTTTGCCATTAGTTCTCCTTGTTATTTAAGTTCTTTGTTCAGTCTTGTCTATGGTAAATGTGCAGTGTGTTGCTCTGTTTGCCTTGTTTATGAATACTCCTTGTTAAAATTCCTCATCGTGCACTTAATTTAGATTGTACTACACTGTACCGTTACATCTGCCTGAACAATTTTGACATAAAACTAGTATGACGGATGGCTTGTATTACCCGTCTTTGCTTTTTTACCCGTCTTTGTCTTTGCTGCACATATGTCAGGCCAGTTAAAATATTTAGATACATGCTGTAAAAATTAATTAACTCCAAAGTGCCCTGCCATTATTTGATCAGCCTCCTTTTCTGAGCAGGACGTCCTTGTCCCAATAATAGCCTGCTCTCAGACCATCCAGTTTACTTCTTTCAGCGACCGCAGCATCCACACAGGTTGATAATGACGAGTCAGACCTCTGAACAACACTGAGCTCATCCTGTCCTAACTGAATCATTGCCATCCTAATAGCATCAGCATTGTCAGCCTCTTTAACTGGACCATCCACTGACAGTGCAAGCTCTGAAGGATTTGATCAGACACGTCATCTATTTCTTACATTTTCGCCTCTGTGAACACAGATTTGCAGAGCTATGTTTGAATCACACAATTCTTAGTCACTACTGGAGAAGGAAAACTTTATCTCCTGCCAGAGTGTTTTCGAGGATAAATTGTTCTTCATCCACAGGACGTTTGACACAAACAACTACCTTCACTAAATCTGAGTTTAGTTTATGGAAAGAATTGGAGCTCAAACTAGTGCATCCGATCCTGTGTAAGCTTCAGTTGATAGAGGCAGTAGTTCCTGCCTAATGAAAGATTGGGTGGCACCGGTATCCCACAAAATCAACCGTTTATCTCCATCAACCCAATCAGAAACAGTTCTGTTTGTGAGGAATGGTTTAATCACAGCTAAATCTGGCTACTCTGGTTTTGTCCTATTCTCTCTTGAGGTAACTCCTGTGTGCTACTTGTTTATTTTAGCCACATTCTTTTGCTTCCATGCTTTGATCAGGGTCATGGCACTAGAAAGCAAGAACGCTCTGCACTCAAAAATGCCTTTTGAGACTGTCTTCGAAAGTGTATCTGATTTATGTGTTTGCACAGTTTTACTAGGCATCGTCTTCATGTTTTGTTTTTGACGTGTCACTCATCAGCCAAAACCGCTGCCTCTGATAAAGATGATAACTTCTGATCATTAAGTTGCACTACTAAACTTTACTAGGACTGTTGCCAATCAAATGAAATCAGTATCAACAAAATCCATCTTACCATTTATCAAAATCTATTTACACTGAAATGACAATAGCAGAAATAATGTTATGAGATTAATGTTTTAAAAATAACATTCTGAATATAGGATTATGATATGTTGGAAACGTATTGTTTATTAAACTGTTGTATAAAAGGAATATCACATGCAATCAAGCCGATAGTAGAAGACCAAGATCAAATGGTTTAATTTTTATTAATTTCATTATCCATATTTGCAATGCCTCCAGACAGCTCATCCAAGACCAAGTCCTATCTAAATGAATGGGGGAATCCTGAAATCTCAAAAACTGCCTGTGAACTCACAAATAAATTACATATTTCAAATCAGCAACAAAATCTGAAATGAACTGCCCCATGAATGTTGTTTCTTATGCTCAAATAGCATTAAAAAAGCTTATTTTTGAGGCTAGACCAGCCAAAAATAAGCACTTATGACTGCGCATGCACATTTGCTGGTCTAGCCTCAGGCTTCTGTGGGAACCAGAGCTTCTACCGGCCGCTGCAGTGACGCAATGACTATTAGCTCTTTCATTTGGAAGGCGTTGCAGTTCCTCCCATTCATAAGTATAGGAGTGAACCGTCTTTGTGTTTCTATAGTCTTTGAAAATATCCCACTTATGAGGCTATCACTGAATACTGAGAGTAAAAGGAGGAAAATCAGCAGGGCCTGTGTAAGTTCCTCCATCTTTCTACAAAGGCACTACTCTGACTAGCTTCACACGGGGCACCGCTAAATGTAGAGATTTCAAATCTAAGTAGCACCACCAGTGTAATGGATTTGGGCTTAAATATTAATGTTAATATTTCGTTTTGGTCACACTTTTTGCAGGGGAACCAGCCAGGAGTTTCACCTTGACAGTAAAGAGCAATCATGTAAGATTGTTAAACAAATAAGAATTACATAAATCGGAGGAAGTTATAGTCTGACCAATCTGAAGGATTGTAGAGAATCGTTAACTTGTAGAACATCTTACTGAATTATCAACGCAAGGAAGACACAAGTGTAGTAAAGGTTTTTTTTTATTAACAAAAGGATAGACAAGCGTAACTAACAACTACTAATTGGGTACAAAGAATGGATAAAGTGCAAAAAAATTAGGTTTTCAATGTCTTTAAGGTTTTTCCTATGCATAATTCACTTTCCAAACCAATTCCAGATTAATCTACACATTGTGCTGAAAATATGAAGACCAAACATCAGTGGGTGATGCTAAACACTGACCCATGCATTCATATATACAGTAGATACCTTATTAGGTACGGTTGCATACATTGTTGTATCACACACAGCAGTCATTAAGTATATACAGTTCTATAAATGGATTTGAAGAAGGTTTAATCAATTGTGTGTCCACTTTGTGTGAATGCATGTGAAGATGTGTCCTTTCCAAAACCAGTTTGGTGAGTCGTTCACACTTAGGTCTCAAGAATGAAGGACTGTGATCAGTGAAAAGGCACGTGGTGATCGGATCAGTCTTTGATCAGTGGAATGCTGAAGTCCTCATTCCTGTCTTCCACACATGATAAGCTTGAGGGAGAACAAAGCAGTTCCTGAATGGAGATCACTGTATGTTAACGTTACCCCCCTCTCCACAAGAGGTAGTGTTGTTTATCTGAAGACAAAAGTTATTCTTTGGTCCACAAAACCTGATCAAATCAAAATGAAGCTTTCCAGTCGTCACCTGCTGTCCACTACAAGTGTAAATTCATCATTTAATTTCCCTTATTTTCAGTTTCATTAAACATTTTAGTTAAAATAAATAAATAAAACTGTAAGTTTAGAATGACATATTGTCTTTCTTTATTGTGTAGCGAAATTTATCCCCTTGTGCCACCTATAGTGTCCACCCAGGGCTAATACTGTACCATATGCAGATACCATAGCATATTAAAATTATGATATTGTGGCTATGATATATAGTCTACTTTACACCCCATGCTTATCAATGAAAATGTATTTGTTTATGTATTCATTTATTTTTGTGGATGTGCAGAAGGCAGTGGTGTAAAGGTTTTAAATAAATGTGCTTGATTACGTAAGTATCTTTTTGGCTACTTTGTAATTGGATGGAACATCACTGATATTAGCCACATTTACACTCTGCACGGCTACATTTTTTCATGAATACAGGTTTTTACTTTCCCTTTTAATGAAAGTCTGTTCACTCAGCTGCCATGTTTGCCAAGACTATCCAAATGGCAAAATCCAAAAAATCTCAACAACAAAAACCAACAACACAATCTGAAATGAACTGTCTCATAAATGTTGTTTCTTATGCTCAAATAGTGTGGGACTTTTATTTAGAAGGCAGAACTTATTCCTCCAAATTTGGCGTGGCACTTCCTCTCTTTCTTAGTAATAAGAGTGCACCATCTTGGTATATCTGAATATATAATCTATTTACATTTACACTTCTCAAACAGTTCTTCTCACTGTGTTGGATAAGAAACAGGTAGCACGCTGATCTGCCAGACGTGGGTCTTTCATGTGGAGAACAACTATGTTTTTTGCATTATGATGCATTTAACAGTAAATGGCCAAACATCTGTTCTGCTACTGTGCTGTTTGTATCTTGATAAAAGTTCACAATGTTTTTTTTTTGTTGTTGTTAGATTGTGAGAACTGCGATATCTTTGAGCCTACATTCTAAATACTAGTTAAGTACTGTTAAAAGCAGATTCTCTAAGCCTCAAGTGATACTGGGCGTGTGTTTTGCAGGTTCTCTTTACACCTCTGGTGGAAGGCATTCCAAAATCCCTGCTCAGAAACTATCTGAATCTGAAAGCGACCCTTCTGTAATTTGATGCATTGTTCAGTGGTTTTCTTTGATTGACACTGTCACATCTACTTATGTTTCAAAGGGTGATTTTCCTTATCTGACACACTTCTGTTCCTCTCACGTATTGTCACTGTGTCTAATTTGCACTAGCCTAGCCTGTCAGACTTACTTGACTACTTTTGGGAGCCGTGGCCAATCCCTGTGTGTGTTAAAGGAAAACATGTTCAACTGGACAGGCTCGCATAGCCATACACAAGACACCATGAACACAGAGACCTGCACTGTCAAGACAAAAAGATTCACTGCACACCAATAAAAGAGGAGCATAATTCAACATTCAACAAAACATCGGAAACAAATCAGAGGTAAGTCAGCTATATGAGCTTTGAGAATGTCCTCACTGTGCTGCTGTGGATCTGTTATATTCATAAAGACTGCTTTGCTTTCAGTATAGCTTTTGAAGGCTGGTGTTACTTACTAGAGTTTATAACCATGATATCAAAAATCATTATCACAGTTCTCAACACAAATCCATTTCATTGTTAAAGTATCAATTCATTAAGCATCTTTTATTAGTGTTCAGGTTCAAGTGTTTTATTTATTTATTTAACACGTAGAGTTGGACTGTAAAGACTGTCTATTAGTGTTCTTCCATGCAGTCACGGTGTTGGTTTGGAGTCTACACTTCATCAGATCCATCGACTACCAGCACTGTTCTCTTAAAGGTGACATATCATGAAAATCTGACTTTTCCAGGTTGTAAGTGCTATAATCAGGTCCCCGGTGCATCTACCAACCAAGGAAACGTGAAAAAGATTAAACACTGACTGTACTTACAAACAGAGCCATGCAAGTGTCTATAAATAAATAAATGAACAACAAACAAATACATAAAACACCTGCTAAGTGACATTGTATACTAAATAAATAATTTCATGCTCTAACAAACTGGACCATTGAGGACAACATGGTTATTATAAATGACATTAGATGCAGTTTATGCACGGCATGTTGGAACAGTATTTAGCAATCTCAGTAAAGGAACTAAACCAGACGTTGTTAAACCTGATTTACAGCATTTTACAAAATGTTTGTGCACATGACCTTTGTTCTGAGATATGTCTGCACATTTAATACCAAATGATTGTGCGTTCATAACCAGGCACCTCCCTGTGAAAAGTCCAGCTTACACGTCCCATGCTGGTTAATGCTGGTTTAGTGCTTGTGTTTGGTCATGATTGGCAGTGTGATATCTATGCCTGCAGTGCTCATGGAATTCTAAACTATTAGCGGGGAAACTACTAGTCACTGGAAATACTCAAGCAGCCATATTAGTTTTCCAAACCACCACGGGACAGCAATGCCTGACAGCCCATGCCATGACCTAAACTGACCCGTTGTTCTGCGTACCACATGAAAGTTTTCAAACGTTTTTGATTGTAAAGTGATTGTTACTACAGATGTCTGTAATGTTTAACATCAATTTGCACACAAAGCAATATATAGAAATAGTTCAAATGCGTATGCATACTGCACACTGCTGATCGACACCAAACACAAAATACATTTCTGTTTGTATGTAGTTCTGCAGGAAATTTTGAACATGACCATTTATATAGAATTATTAGAAACCGAGTCAAATACCACTCGTCATCATGAAAACACATTTTCAAGCCCACACGCAACAGTCAGTGTTCTTTCTCTGATTAAGGTGTGATGCAGTCCCGATGTAGTTCATCTACATTACAGTAAGCAGGGAAAATTACACACTCTAAATAAGCAAGAAATATGATTTCAGTTTACATCTTGATTTTATGTTTTTTTACATCCAGCATTTTAATGTCAATTAGAGTTATATTATTTAAATCAATAATAATTCATTGAAAACTGTGGCCCCCGGTTGACAACAGCTACCCCAGAGTCACAGGTTGATCATTTTTCAACACTTGGATATGTTGTGTTTTCTAGGCAGTCAAAGAAGCACAAGATGGCCCAGCTGGACAGTGATCTTTTCTCTGAGCAGGAGCTGACCTGCTCCATCTGCCTGGATCTCTTCAGTAAGCCTGTTTCCACGCCATGCGGACACAACTTCTGCCAGGGCTGCATCGGGGGCTACTGGGCCTCCAGCTCCGTCTGCACCTGCCCACTGTGCAAACGGGTGTTTGAGGAGCGTCCTGAGCTCAGCATAAACCGTGTGTTTGCACATATCGCTCAGAAATATAAAGAGATGCACTACGATGGGCCTCCTCAACCGAAGCCAAGGCAAAAAGCGGTTATTACCGGAGCTTCGCTAGCTGATGCAGAGCAGATTTTATGTGACGTCTGCAGTGGCAAGAAAAAGAAAGCTGTCAGCTCCTGTCTGACGTGCACTGCATCATACTGTGAGATTCACGTACTGCCACATCAGCAGACGTTGTTCTACGCCTCCCATCAACTGCTGGATCCTCATGAGGCCCTGCGAGGCCGAACCTGCCAGGAGCACCACCGGCTGATGGAGGTTTACTGTCGCACGGATCAAAAGTGTATTTGTGCGATCTGTGTGCTGGAGGAACACCGCACACACACCACAGTCTCAGTGCAGACAGAACGCGCTAGCAAGCAGGTAACAGTTTCTCTTTTTAGAATAATGATCATGTGGAAATATGTTTTCACTGCAGCTCAAAACTACAATGGCAAGAGACAAGAAGGGATAGATCACCCAAAAATGATAATTCGGTGTCATTTTTTTACTCACCCTCAAGTTGTTCCAAACCTGTATGAGTTTCTTTCTTCAGAATAATATTCAATTTTCCATTTAAATATAAAAAAAAAATATATATATATATACACTATGGAAGTCAATGGCTACCATCAACTGTTTGGTTACATTTGCTTCATAATGTCTTCAAACATATCTTCTTTTGTGTTCAACAAAAGAAAGAATCTCATACAGGTTTGGAATGACATGAGGTTTAATAAATGATGACAGAATTTTCATTTTTGGGTGAACTATCACTTTAACATTACTAATCTATAGTTAGGAGCAGAGCACTAAAGGTGCTACAAAACACCTATTGTTTTTCTTAGTGTTCTTTTTATCATTGTATTTGTTGTTGTTCTTCTTCTTAGTGGAGCTTGCTTTCTTTCTCTTTTTCTCCACCTTTATCTGTATAGCACTTTATATAATACTGGTTGTGTCAAAGCAGCTTTATAGTGTCAAACAGGAACATAGTTTGTCAGTAATGCAAGAAGACAATAACAAGGAGTCAATTTTTCAGCTAAAGTCAGTTCATTGATGATTCAGTGTCATCATCCAGTTCAGCTCTCTTCCAATAGTTTCTGTGCAATCAAGTCAACAATATCGCCAGAAATTAAGCATCCCCAACGTGCCTTGGAATAAGAAAGAAACAGACTAATATTAGCGTAGATGCCATTCTTCTAACGATGTAGCAAGTACATCGGGTGTTATGGGAAGTGGTAACACTTTATAATAACTTTCATGTATAAATCATTAACAAACATTATATAATGCTTAACAGATCATTAGTTAATATACAGTATATTCACATATCTAGAAATATGAGATAATGTTCTTGTTAATGCTCACAAATGTCAGTAAACTTTCAGTTCATATGATCTTCATTTGTTGGTCTTGTTTGTTGTGTAGACCTCCATTTACACATCTTAACAAATAATCTATTAATTATTTGTTCATGTTTTTGCAGTACCCAATCTAAAGTGGAAACTATTCATCATTTGTAAATGTTTATAAACGATCACTAATCATTTAATATCTTTATGGGGATTGGACTTTTAGCTGCTTTATCAAGGTTTGTGTAAAGGGTGGCAGGTTAAGTTTAGCTCAATGCTTACTAAAGACATAACAGATTGTAATTTTGCTGCAAAAATGTTTGCATCACCTCAACACTCACATTAGTATGCTACTCTTCAGTATATCATTAAACAGGACATTCATTGAATCATAAATAAACAGGGGAAAACAAATCATTTTTTAAAAAGAAAATACTTGTTCATTTATCAAAACAATATATATTATCTCACGTTTCTAACTCTTTGAATAAATATTAACTAATGATCCATCAAGCATTATATAATGTTTGTTAATGATTTATTAATGAAAGTTATTATAAAGTATTACCCATGACTTTCAAAGGAAAGGTTACACTTTATTTCGATAGTCCTAGACATTCTACTAACTGTAAGTAACATTGCAACTACATGTCAACTAACTTTTTAGCATTTGTTTGTAGCCTGTTAGGTTAATGATCCATCAAGCATTATATAATGTTTGTTAATGATTTATTAATGAAAGTTATTATAAAGAATTACCCATGACTTTCAAAGGAAAGAGGTTACACTTTATTTCGATAGTCCTAGACATTCTACTAACTGTAAGTAACATTGCAACTACATGTCAACTAACTTTTTAGCATTTGTTTGTAGCCTGTTAGGTTAGGGTTAGTAGAATAAGTTGCTGTACTTGCAAAGTTACTTATAGTCAGTAGAACATCTGTTGAGTGACCATCAAAATAAAGTGTTAGTAGATATTAAGCAGACAGTCTACTAATACTATAATGACTGCTAGTTGACATGTAGTTGCAAATTTGTTTATAGGTAGTAGAATGTCTAAAGTGGACTATCAAAATAAAGTGTTACCAGGAAAGATTGCTATCAAATATCACACCTAGGTTCCTAACTGATGACGAGGAATTAACAGAGCAGCCATCAAGTGTTAGACAGTGTTCTAGGTTATTACGTGCGGAGGTTTTTGGTCCAATAATTAACATATAATTAACATAATTAACAAATGCATAGTTTTGTGAATTTGTATGTTTCATCGGGCCATGAAGAAATATAGAGCTGAGTATCATCAGCATAACAGTGAAAGCTAACACCGTGTTTTCTGATGATATCTCCCAAGGGTAACATGTAAAGTGTGAAAAGCAATGGTCCTAGTATTGAGCCTTGTGACACTCCATACTGTACTTGTGATCGATATGATATCTCGTCATTTACTGCTATGAATTGATGATGGTCAAGATTTGAACCATGACAATGCAATTCCACTAATGCCAACATAATTTTGTATTCTACTCAAAAGAATGTTGCTGTAGCAAAGCATCACTGTTATTATCTCATATTCTTGGTCTGGACAAAACTTTGGCACCTTACTCATCCCACACCATTGAGCTATGATTCTGTATGTATGATTGGTCATACGCAGATCGGTCTGTGCAGCGCATGCATCTCGAACAAGCCTGTTAACTCCATATACGAGATACATAACTGAGGAAAAATGCATTGTTGGTCAGTGCCACCTAGAGTGCAGGCGAGAATTAGCAGAAGGCGATCAATCGTTTCGCACTCGGTGTGAAAGCGCCTTTACACTGAAAAAAGCATCATGGGAATATCTGTGGATCAGAACATTGTAGAGACATAGATGTGCTCTTGTGACTCTTTTGACTTCCATTAAATGTTTAAATAACACCTAACCATAAAGAGAGACCTATGACCCAGCCATATCACGGCATACTTTGAGGCCTTTCAGGGCCACAGCTGTGTTTCAGCAGCAGAACATCATAGAGACAAGGTGTGGACTTTATCATTTATGGCTGATATTTAGTCCTTCACAGAAGACTGAGGGAAAGAGAGATTTTAGATCTAAGAGATTAAATTTTTTTTTCTCACCTCATAGAGACTCCTGGGGAAAACAGAACTGGACCTTCAGACATGTATTGACAAAAGAAATGCCCAGCTGACTGAGCTGAAGAGCAAACTACATGCCTTGCAGGTATTTTAAAACTATAGTCAAGCTTTATTGTCATTGAAGTTTACAGCATACAGATGAATAAATCTTGTATAGTTGTCTTTAATTGTGTGAAGAGCTATAGATTTAAAATCTACTGTGAAAATGTACTGGTTTTTTTTACAGTGATGTTTAATCATTTGTCTCCACTTATTTCAAAAACTTTGCTAAAATCATTCTTTTAATAAACATCTGTACCGAAAATATTTTGAACTGTCCATGTGAATGGTGCTCATTATGTTTGCAGTGCAGGTTTGTCATGTACAATGTCTTTCACAGAGCTACGCTCAGGCTGAGCTGTCCGAGGTGGAGCAGCTCCTGTCTGACGTCACACACTCGGTAGATCGCATCCGCAGCGAGCTGGTGGGCGGGATTGAGGAGAAGAGAGAGGCTGTGATTGGACGAGGACAAAGCATCGTCACCCAGCTTGAGACAAAGTTAGCGCAGCTGCAAAAGCGCCGAGGTCGACTAGAGGCACAGGCTATTTCGGATGACCATATCGGCTTCCTTCAGGTACAAAGATGCAGTCTTACAACAAACACCCGAGATTATGTGTTTTTTTTTTTTTTTTGTTAACCACATCCATTGCTTCATCCTTTTATTGCAACCCATTCTCACTCCCAAGGCATCAAACACTGAATTACGGTCTACGTGTCACTACATCCACAAACTAGGAACGTCATTACAAATGCTTGTTTTATGCATCTCTCATCATTATAGTTTTCTGGCTAAAATGTCTCCACAAATGTCTTTATTTGTAGAATAAAACTGATTACATATTTAGTTTTTTGCATACATCTGTAAAATGTTATATTTATACTAGCCCCTAACCTAATGTAACATTTATAATAACCCCTAACTTAACCCCACCCGAACCCTCACAGAACAAGCAGATAAAAATACAACGACAGTAATGTACTGCAAAAACTGACAAATATGTATATAATATAAAATATACAGTATATACATACACACACACAAACGATGCATGGTGCATTTCAAGTCTTCTGATGCCATACAATATCTTTATGTGAGAAACTTAAAATGAAATTTAAGGTTTTAACTGCTGAAAATGTTCATGCTCCATTAACGCAGTCACATCTCATTCAAAAGATAAATCTTTTAGTATGATGCGATCGGTCACGAGTCAATGGCATTTTACAGTCAAAGCTGACATAATGCTTCTTTAGGTGCGATTTTTGAATGTGTGGATGACTGAGCATTACAGCGGATGGAGACATGATCATTTTTGGGTCTTTTCCTCAAACGCTGTGGCGTTCCTAGTTCGTCTATATAACAAAGCCAGGGGGTACCTTTAGGGTCTTAATAGTGACGTGCAAGGCACTTGAACATGCTTCAGTTTCTGATGACTTCGGAGTGAGAACGGGTTGTTTATTCCTTCTCTGGTGGAAAGGTGAAACCATCACAGTGCATCACAAATACAGTATAAACAAAACTGTATTACTTTACAGTAATGGCATTACTTCTAAGTTGAACTGTAGGATATTTTATGTAAAATGAAATGAGGACCCAGACCCAGGTAAGTCTTCAGCATTAAAAGGTCAACATCACTCTCTGATGGGCCCAAACAACTGTTGCAGTGATCGTGGCCATCTGAGGGAGAGACTGCATCCAGACGACCCACTGACGAAATGGCATCTTTAAAACGACATTTTTATCAGTGTGACTCTTTTAGAAGAAATTTCTCTTTCATGGAGAATTTTTGTTTTTCTTTGAACTGCTCGTTGAAGGAGAATTCTCTTGCACTTAATGGTGTGTGTGGGAGAGAGAACCGCTGAAATGTGCTGTACAGGAATCCAACAAAGCTTCTAGGCAGAGGTGAATGAAGAGAGAATCAAAGACACGTCTTCTCGGCACTGAAGAGCAAATCTGAATGAGTGGAGCAAGCTGCCATTTATATACCTGTATGTCCGGAGGAGTGAAATGTAAATTCCCCTCATCAGTTCTCATTGGTCTTTTCTGAAGTATCAGAGGTGTTTGGGGCTCCCAAGAGTGAGCCCTAGTGTCACAACATCACTGAGTGAGTGACAGATGACAAAAAGTGAGTGACAGGGACAAAAGGCCCAAGATGTTTGCATTTGCTATTTATATTAGGCATATTTGTTTGAGTTTGTGCTCAACTGTTGTGATCAGATACGTGTTTACTGTCTCAGAGGTGAGTGTTGTTCTCAGAATAATTGAGAGGCAAGGGGGACAACAACGATCTTTGTCTGGCTCTGACAGGGAGAGCATGTGCTAAATAAGTGTCATTTTGAATAAAGTTGTATCTGAATTGCTCCTGTCACCCTACACACAAATGTTATAGCTGTCCTCTGAGTGGCAGAAGCTAGATGTGTGCATAGAAAGATCTGCAGAAACCACAGATTGTGGATGAGGGGCAGGATCCCTAATGAACCAGATACTCGCTCAGTCTCATTATTACATTTCAGTATACCTCAACATACGGTGTTTTATCTTCATCGTGTTCCATTCCACCAGATTCTTTTTGAATATGATAATCTTTTTATGATGACAGAGTTTTGAGGAAGCCAACAGTCCCTTGCAGGACTCAGATATGGACATGCATGAGGTGGATGAGCTGACCCTACGCTTCTCATTTGGGGACGTCAAAGCAGCTTTAGGAGAGATCCGGGAAAGACTGGATGACATACGCTGTGGGGAAGTGCATTACCGGCACTCTGGTGAGACACTGCCGTGTGATAAATGCAGTAATACAGCATTAGTTGCATTACATTGCATAGTGCTAAGGAACAGAATGACAAACACTTTGGAATACTGTTCCGTCATTAATAAATAACCACACAGGAACAAATGAGTAACACAATATTAACAGCACACTACGGTTAACTAACAAGAAACTCTATGGCAAGCCGTATATCCTGAGAATGAAAGTCACTTATGAAGAGAACCTTATAAGAGTGTCTTTGTATGTGTGTGGTTTCTATGGCAGTGTCGACATTAGCAGAGAGTGAGAGTATGATGAGTGTTCGATCAATGAGGAGGAAGGAGTGGTCACTGAAAGGTAAAGAAAAACACCTGAACCCACGGTGACTCTTACAAAATACATCTGTACCACTTCTAGTAGGAACATTGATGATCTTTATCCAAAATCTTTCATTTTATGTTTTACAGATCTACGGAAATTAAAAATAGGTATGTATGTTTTTTAAGGCATCTATACATTTTTTTCAGTGTCTTTCTTTTAAAAGTATTTTTGTTAGATGTTGGATTTTGAGGATGTAGGAGTGTCAGGCTGAGTGCTTTCTCATGTGCATTTCCCTTTCCCTTTCATCTACACGCTTATAGAGATATCATCAAAACAGATTCTTAGGTTCTTCTTTAGAATTAATTATGTCTACAGTCAACACTTTCCTGCAGCGATAATCAGCAGCAAGGCAAAGTTCCTATGAGGGAACCAGAGGTGGCTCAGTTTTGTACTTTTCCATTCTTAGTGTACTTCAAATATCTTGATGATGCAGTTAAAGCTGCAGTCCGTAACTTTTTTTGGCTAAAAATGATCCAAAATCAATATTTGAGCAAGTACATAACCAGCCAGTGTTCAAAACTATCGCCTTACTTTAGCCCGATTCACAACGGTTATCTTACAATAATGTTTTCTAATTTGAGTGGTACGGGTAGGTTTTCGCGGAAAATTCGAGCATGCTGCTGCATCATTACATCACGTCTGTAAACATAAAGACTGAGTCCCGGCTAAAAGGCTATATTGCATGTGCAGATGCTGCAGGTGGTGGATCGTTAGCCTTATCTCACAGCAGCTGGAATAATTACATTTATCATTTTGATGGCAGATTGTAATCCAGAAAGGATTATGTGTTTATGAAACACATAGGCAGCGCGATTTATTGTAATGTTTTTTTCCTTCAGTTGGTCAGAACAAAAGGGGCAGACTTGTTACTTAATTGTTCTGATGACAATATCCGATGAAAATTCTTATTTGGGTCATATATTCCAAGACGTAGGCTAGAATCTGTGATTCATAAATACAGTATTCACACTGGTGCAGTGACTGACTGCCACACATACTCCTCAAAACATTAGATTCATCCACGCTGGAGCCGTGCCGGCGCACAACCCACGCAAGGAAGATAATTCCACAAGTAACTGCAATTGCAGGTTTCAAACAGAGATGGCGACAAAGAGGCAAAACTTACGGACTGCAGCTTTAATTAAGTGAAAAAAATGAAGTGTGGAATATTAGACACATCATGCATTCAACTGTCACAGCTTTACTTTACTAGACAATAGAGTACACGCACAGGGTTATGTCAAGTGAAATATCCTTTATTTATTTAGCTCTTTTTACAATACAGATTGTCAAAACAGCTTTACAGTGTTAAAAAGGAATAATGTTTCAATAATGCAAACAATTCAGTTCTGCTGTAAAGCAGCTCTAAACAGAGGACAATAGTAAACAGTCAGTTTTCAAGGTAAAGTCAGTTCATAGCTGATTCAGTGACGTCAACATTCAGCTCAGTTCAGTTCTCTTCAAATAGTGTCTGTGCAGTCAAGTCAATAATATTGTCAAATATCAAGCTTCCCCAACTAAGCAAGCCAAAGGCGACAGCGGCAAGGAACCAAAACTCCATCGGTGACAGAATGGAGAAAGAAACCTTCACTTGACTTGACTTGGAGCATAACATGAACAGGATAATAGTCTATCTTGGACATGCTAGGCATGCCGGGGAACAAAAGTTGGGAGTACAGATAGATGACCAACCCTAGCTCACCACTAAAATAAGTGAAGAAACCGGTAACGCTTTAGATTACAACCCGCAAAGAACTACGTAAGTATACTGAATTTACGGTGTACGTTTCTGTAATTATAGTGTACCTATAAAGAACGTACGTGTAGGTATAAGGGAACAATGTGTTACGTTTGGGTAATAAGGGGGTAACAACCAGATATGCAACCTGCAAAGAACTGCGCAAGTAAACTGAAGTTACAGCGTAACTTTTTTGTAATTATAGTGTACCTATTCAGTACCTCCATAGGTATAAGGGAATAATATGCGAAGTTTGGGGAATAAAGGGGTAACAACCTGTAAAATTACAAATCATTTATACTGTAAGTATTTTGAAACTAAGAGGTACCTATTCTA